TTGTCTCTCTCCCCCTTCCTCCCTTCCACTCTATCTAAGGATCAATGGGAAAATATCCTCAGGTGAGAACTAACAACAAAAGAGTGCTGATGTTGCTAAGGGTGTGAAAGTGCTCACAACACAATGGCCAGGGGCAATTGAAGAAGTAAAAAAAGTGTTGATCTGGATAAACGGAAAGAGCAGTTGGCTGGTGATAAGTTGCTGCGTGACCTCCTGAGAGACACGCGGAAGGAGAGCCGCGGCTGACGGTACATTCCATCTCCTTTTTGTTACAGTTTCACTCACCTTTTACGTTCTTTTTGTTTTTAAATTGTTCATTTACAGATTAAACAGTACATTAGACGTGTACTGTATATAAGAAAGGTCAAAACAGAATCATTGGAGGGTCTAGAACGGATTAATTCCATTTACATGATTTCTAACGGGAAAAGATGATTCGGTTTTCGAACAAAGGGCTTCTCGGACAGACTTCTGTGGCCCGCAGGCTGACGCCCTGACCGCTGAGCACCGGCCAGGGCATCGGACAGACTTCTGTGGCCCGCAGGCTGACGCCCTGACCGCTGAGCAACCCGGCCAGGGCATCGGACAGACTTCTGGAACGAACTGAGTTTGAGAACCGAGGCACCGCTGTAAATACTAATACAGGACACCCCGTTAGATTTTAATTTCAGATAAACGACTATGTTTTAGTATAAGTGCCATGCAATTCGGGGGGGTATACTTACACACTGAAAACGTGTTGTTGAGCCTAGGGGGGTGCAGTTCAACTGGCTAGGCGGCGTCCTGTGCACCCGAAGGTCGAGGTTACGTTCCCAGTCGGGTGTGTGCGAGGCAACCGATCCATGTTCCTCACATAGATGTTTCTCTCTCTCCGTGTCCCTTCCCCCCTCTCAGATTAATAAAAACATATTTTGGAGGGGGAAATCTTGCTTATCTGAAACGGAAACGTATCTGCTAGCCCTAGGTGGGCGCAGACCATGTGCAGTGAACCCAGGCAGGACAGGTCCTCTGGCAGACAGCCAGGGGCAGAGCCGGTGATGGAGAGGGACACATCGGAGAGCGGGGAAGGGCTGGAGGAAAGGGGAAAGGGCAACTGGTCCCCAGCCCAAACAGTCCCCACTGCAGGAATGCAGAAGGGGCCCTGGTAGTCTCAGCCTGACTCTAACCCTGACCCCCACCCGCCCAGCAGCCTGGTCCTCAGCTGGCCCCTTGGCTCCCTCTGGGAGGCCTGCCTCAGTGGACTGTTCTATGCATGGAGGGGTCGAGTGCTGGGGGGAAGTTCTGAGAAGAGAGCTGGGCTCCACCAGGAGGGCTGCCTCCCCACCACGAGCCTGCGCTTACCACAGAGGCGACCCAGGGTACCACTCCTGGGAATGCCACCTCCACCCTGTTCCCTGCCACCCCTGGAAGCGGCCAGTTCCTCCCAGTCTGTAGGGCCCACCTACCCTTCAGTGCTCTAACGAGAAGAATCACACCGATAACTGCAAACCATTGAGTACATCCCCCTGGCCAGGCGACCTGTTTCATCTTCACAGAAACATTACGAGGTAAACGCTGTCATCGTCCCCACTTTCCAGATGAAGAAACGGGCTTGGGTGAATTAAATTACCAAAGGGCCTGACAGCTAGTCAGCAATGGCAGGGGACTCAGACCCAGGTCAGCGTGGGTCTTGGAGGGGCCCACGATTCCAGAGCCTCTCACAGCCTGTACGTCGCAGAACCGGTACCACTGTGCCCTGTGTCTGCCCTTCGGTCAGGAATCTTGGAGGAAGGGCACAGATTGGGAATAATAGTGTTTGTTCAAAGACTTAAATCCTGTTCCAAAATGTACCCAGATCCCTTCCCTGTCCCCCATCCCTTTTCCTGTCCTCCCTGGCCTTGCAGCAGCCAGCACGTGGAATCTAAAGAGCCTCTACGTGTCCAGTCTTAGCGGGGCTAGGGCTCTGAGGAAGGAACTGGCTTGTGACTTGTCTGTCCTGTAGCTCTCCTCCAAAGGAAGCCCCTCCCCGGGCAGGCGCCTGGGACAAGTCCTTGGTCTCTAGAGGAGATAATGCCTTTGTCCCTTCTCAGATAAACAAACACAGCCTGCTTGAAGTGTGTCATGCAAGGTGCAGGAGCAGCGCCCCACCCCTGGGGATAGGCCTGGCCCTCCTCCCAAGGTCACGAGCAGGAGACAAGGGACAGCTAGGTCCAGTCAGATGTAGAAGCCAAGTTTAGCCCATTCTGCAGGGAAGCCAGGCCTCCCGCCTGCAAGGCCAGCAGCGTCCCTGCTCTGCCCACCGTAACCCACGCAAAGCACGGCGCTTCAGGCTCACGCCACACGGTACCGGTCACAGTGTGGTCTCTGTATGGGTGCCCCCTGCAGTTTAGTGGCACAGCAGATTTACAGGTATGTGTGTATGTGCACGCACCAGCACCCATGACCCTGCCCCTCACCCCGCCCCTAGCACTTGTCAGATCAGAGCCACAGGAAGCAGGGCCAGCAAGTGTGCAAATCAAGAGCCAAGATGGGGAAGTTTATTTTATTTTCCAAGAATCATCTAAACACACGAGGAGTATTTTTTAGGCCCTGGCTCCCACCCGGATAACAAATCTAAACGAGCTGGAGAACTGCACCCCCAGGGACACGGAGCAGCCAGCGGAGACAGGGCGGGACAGGGCACTGCGGACCCCACCCTGCCCCTAGTTCAGACCCGTCTCCCTCGGATAGCTTCCAAAGGCGAAAGCTGCCATGGGAGCCAGGAGCTGCAGAGAAATGACGGGGGTGGGCTGTGCCCTCTTTCTGAGTAAGGAGCCCCTGGCCCCCATCATCTTGGAGAGACTGCGTCAGGAGCCAGAGGGGTCTGCTGAGGGTGTTGGGGCGGCACAGAGGGAGTGACTTTACTCAAAAACATACACAGCCAGAGGGACTGCCCATCAGCCTTACCCTCCAGGGTGCAGGGGCCAGTTCCAGGGGGTCGGCTGCCCACCCCTGGGGTGACTGGCCAGGAGTGACCTTGCTTTGAGTGGGGAGCTGACAGCGCCTTCTCCAGCCTCCAGGAGGGCAGGGGGAATGCTGGGAAGAGGCCTGAGCCCTGGGTCCTGGACGAGCTGTGCCCATTCTGGCCCCCACTGGCCAGGTTTATTATTGTTTATGATTGTGGGGTCAGGGGAATGGGGGAGGGTGGTGTGCCTTCTGCCTGGGGTTGGAGAGGCCAAGGCTCCCCTAGTCTCTTGCAGAGAGCTGGAACTTCCTGGTTCTGCTGCCATGTTATTCACCGAATGTTGCCTTGAGGGCAGGGTCGGGGATGCCAGGTGGGGGTGTGGATGGGAGGGAGGTCCGGACTTCTGAGAGCCCTGAGCTGGGGGGTGGGTGCAACTTAGATCATAAATCCCCTGCAGGCTGCCGTGGGAACCAAAGAGAACAGGCTGGGTGTCCACATACCCCCTGCTGACACAGGCTGCCTGCTGTTGCCATGGTGACAGCAATACCGATCTCCTGCCTGCCAGCCACCCACAGCTGTGTGGTCATCAGTAAAAGGAGGCGGGTGCTTATTCTTGGTCACGAAGGGGAAAGGGGAGGGGAAGCTCGTATGAAGGGGGAGCAGCCCTTTCTCCCTCTTCCCAGATGTAGTTGGGGGTGGTCAGGTGAGAGAAAGCTTAGAGGTCACCTCTCCCAACCAGCTCCCCTCCCAAGACTCCAGCCAGCCAGTGCTTCTCACACTGGGTAATGGGGTCCCGGTGTGCTCACACATCTCCCTGTGGGAAGCTCACCACCTCCAGACAGCGGAGCCTGTTAGAGCTGTGGTCCCCACACCTCCCGGCCCTGGCCCTTGGGGGCGCCTCTTCACCCAGCAAGGCCCCTTCTTGTCCCCTTCTTCTGCATCTCACGCTCACGTTCCTCCAAAATCCAGCCCCGCCCTGAATGATAAGATCTGAGAGCCTGGGGCCCGGCCAGGCTTGGGACCCACCAGTGGGGCCCTTATTTCCTTCTCCCTTGGTTTTCCAACCCCTTACTACCCACCCCCTCCTAGCCTCACTCCCTCGTGGGCCTCAGAGGGAAAGATAAGCAGAGATACACCCGAGGGGCGGGGGAGTGGTGATGGGGGGCTTCACTGAAACTCGCATGTGCCAGGGCCAGGGACTCGGGGATTCACTGTGAATGTCACATCCATTGCTGACCCATCAGCTCCAGGACCACGGCAGTGGCCCCTGACGCTTCCCCCACGCCTCCCCTGCAGCCCCTGGCCACAAAGCAGAGACCCCGGTGCCCCCCCCCCCCGGTCTCTCATGTTCAAAACCAGCATCCCCACAAGATCCTACTTCAAGACCTCACACAGCCTCTCCCCTGCCCTTCTTCCTCCCCTCTCTCCTCTTTCCCGCCCCCCCGCCAGCCTGAACACTGGCTGGCTCCCCCTGACCCCTTCAGTCTTCCAGATGTCCCTTCCCCATGTGGCCTTCCCACCTTCCCTTCGTGAAGGAACTTTCTCCACAGCACTTACTGCCTTCTGAGACATCAGACAATTGTGTTTTATTCCTGTGAACTCCAGAAGGGCAGGCATTTTCGTCTGTCTCATTCCCCGCCATATCCCCAGGGCCTAGAACACAGACGCTCAAGAAGTACTTCTGCACACAAATGAGCTCGTGGCCCACCTGGCCCAGGCGTAGCCACACACAGCCCGCCCTCTCCACCCAGAGCAGAGGAGGGGGCGCTGGCCAGGGCCCGTGGGCTCTGCCGCACCTGGCGTGGCCTCCGCCCGGCCTCTGTCCTGCCACTGTGTGAGGGCTCCACATGGGGTGCAGACAGGGAGTTCTCAAGGGAGGTGCAGGTAACATGTGGTCCCTGTTCCAAAAAATCTCCAGGCCTTAAGGTCCCCACCGTGGAACAGGGCAGGTAATTATGGGAACTGAAAACAGACCTGAGAAAGGTTTCTTTAAAAATATATATTTCAGTCATCATCAAGCCAGGAGGCCGAGGAAGGGAGGCCGAAGCCCTCGGAGGGCGGAGGTCCGCAGTGGAGCGTCCGGAGTGAGCCATCACCGGAGGAAGCCGGCCAGCAGGTAGGGAAGAGTCGGGGCCAGCAGGGTGGGCAGCGGCAAGGGCAGCAGTCGTCCCGGGGCCTGGGACCTGAACACCCGGCGCTGACCCCGGCGTTGCAGGGGCCTGACGTTGTCTGTCATCTTCTGTTTCTGCTCATTGTCGTAGTACAGCTTCTCAGAGAATTCGAGGATCTGTAGAGGGACAGGGCTCAGCTGGGATGGAGGACAGGTGGAGCGGTACTCCCATGCTGTGTGGCCCCAGGCCAGTCACCCTGCCTCTCTGAGCCCTCATTAGGGAAGGGGCTCAGCATCCCTACCTCTCAGGTTTCCGTGTGGATGAAAACATTAGGAGACGTAAGGTGCTGGGTGCTGGAGGGCACTCAATTTCCGTTAGCTTTCCCTTAGCCAAGTGGAGCGCTTTGAGGGCTTATGATTACAACTGCTGTGGTCACTGTTCCTGTAGAACAATGGTCCTCAAACTTGAGCTTGCGTGACTGTCGCTTGTTGGGCCCCAGACTGCCGGGCCCCACCTCCAGGGTTTCTGACTCAGTAGGTCAGAGGTGAGGCCCAAGAATTTTAATGTCTAGCAAGCTTGCAGGGACCACTCTGAGAACCACTGTCCTGGAACAAAATACGGCGAGGGCAGGGAGTGAGGCCCTTTTGGCTCACTGCTGTACCCCCAGAGTCTGGCATGTTATAAGGACTCGAGGGCCATGGGTGGAATGAATGGCCTGCTTCCCTACTCTGGCTACATTACCTTCTCTCATCTGCTCCTGGCCAGCCGGGCCCTCCCATGCAGGCACCTTCCCCACTGCACAAGTCCCCTGCCCGCAGCTGGCTGACTCCCACTTACTTTTCAGGGTTCAGCCTGGAAGCCTTTTTCTGACACCCCTGCCACGGCCTCCCCTCCAGCCCTTAACCCAGGGATAGGACAGCTGAGCCCTTTCTTGTCTGTCTTCCACAGGTAGTATCTGTGGATTCGGCCAACAGGCCTCAGCCCCTGGGGTGCCCCCTGACCCCAGGGGATCTCTGCGGGATCCAGAGAAACGGTTTCCAGGGAGCTGGGCAGTGGGAGGCTGCTTGCAGCTGGGCCTGTGTACCTGGTCCTTGTGGAGGTGAATGGGCTCCACAAACACAGTCCAGACAACCTTCTCCTCACAGCCCGGCGTGGTGAGCGAGCCCAGGTAGCGGAAGTAGTGCCTCAGTTTCTCCTCCTCGGGGAGCAGGTCTAACAGGCTGATGCTGTCCTTCATTGTGGTGCTCATCACTGGAGGGGGGTGGACAAAGGGTACTGTCAGTGGAGGGGGAAGAGGGGATCTCTGAGCCGCTGGTCCCCTTCACACACCTCACTCTGAGAGCCCGGCCCCGCCTTTGTAGGAAGAAGTCCCCACCCCTCCCGTCACCACCCCAGCCTCCTCCAATGCTCATCCTGACTCACTGGGTCTGGAAATAGAAGACAGCACCTCCACCAGGGGCTGGAAGCCATCGTTCTTGGATCCGGCCTGGAACAGGAAAAAAGGGGGCTAGACAGGGGCTTGTGGGGAGCTGGTGGTGACCACCAAGTCATTCTCCTGGTCTGGGGTAGGGAGAGCAGGCAGCTCTGGATCTGAGACCCCGAGAGGCTCTGAGCTCCCCACCTGTGGGTGTACAAGTCACTGAGAAACAAACAGAAGTCGAGGCCCCCCAGCCCCCTCCTGTCTTGCTGGAATCCCAGGTCTCTGGATCCTAAGAAGCCACCCCTTAGACCCCAGGGGATGGGGGTCCCACCTCCACCAGGAAGGCCAGCACTGCAATCTCGTCTTCAGAGTTCTGGGCCTCTTTCTTGTTCTCTCTCTCGTGTACGATGTGCATCTGGTGGGAGGTGAGAGATGGAGAGAGGGCTGGTCGGCTGGACCGCCCTTCTTGCCTAAGGCAGGTACTTCAGGGCCCAGCCAAGGCACTCACCCAGGAGGGGCCACTCACCTCCATGGCAAAGCGATCCCCGTCGAGGCTGTGCTCCGAGCCCGCGTCCAGCACCTTGGACCAGTGCAGGTGCAGCTGCTTGGCCCGGTATCGGGAGGACAGTCCCCCTCCAGCGATTGCGGACTCATTACCCAGCAACACCATCACTGAGGGCACAGAGGGGCAGGGTCCTCGCACCCACCTCCCCTAGCCTCTTCCAACCACTCTTTCCAGCTCCACCCAGGCAAGACCTCTCCTCCCTCCTACCCTTCATGGGCTGGAGGGAGGGGACAGGACGGGCGGTACAGCCCCAGACCTTTCCTGGCCCCTTACTGACCTCCTGCCTGCCTCTCCTCTGCACACCTCCCACTGCCCCAAACATGAAACTCGGTCGGCCCCTCCCCCGCTCCAACCCCCCTTCGTGGTGCCCTGGCATCCTCAGGGGAATATCCAACTCCTCAGCCCGTGGTGACCTGTCTTTGGGCCCAGCTCGGATGACGCCGGGCTGGCTCAGCCCCTCCCAGCGTCACTCTGTCCTCCATCCATACAGAGCCATCTGCAGCTCCCTGCACACCCCAAGCTGTTTCCTGCCTGCAGTCCTGTGCACATGACGTTCCTTCCTTCCTTCGCCTAGAACGCGCCCCCGGCCCCAGACTGATCTGATGAAAGTATTGAAAATACTCTGAAGTGTTCCCTGCTTTGCAAAGCCCTTCCCATCCCTCCTCTCTTCCCCCACACTGGGCTTCCAGCGGCTCCTCTGCAAGGTGGCCCTGGATCTGTGTGCCCTCCTCATCCTCGAGCAGGTGCCCATGCTGCCCAGGTTCTCCATCCCGCCCACCTGGGACCCACCTGAGTGCCCATTGTTTTGGACAGTCCACTTTTGCTTCTTGTCATAGCCAGAGAAGGAGAAGGGTCCCAGGTTTGTGTTCACCTGTGCCTTGCTGGTGACGATGTTGATGGGGGACTGGCGGTCCTTCTCGCAGTTTCCACCCCACTGGTCCGGCCCTGAGCAGGGAGAGGAGCGGGGCTGAGCCAGGGGTGCCTGGCTTGAGGGTGTGGCCTCTTCTGCTCCATGGAGGTCTGGCCCAAGCACCCAGCCCACATGTGACAAGGTCTTGGGATGGCTGGCAGGCTATATCCCAGGGGCCTTCCTACTCAGATACACACAATCACACTCATACCCCCCACACATTCACCTGCACACACACACCATCACACTCATACCCCCCACACATTCACCTACACACACACAACCACACTCATACCCTCCACACATTCACACACACACAATCACACTCATACCCCCACACATTCACACACACACAATCACACTCATACCCCCCACACATTCACCTGCACACACACACACACTTATACCCCCCCACACATTCACCTACACACACACAATCACACTCATACCCTCCACACACATTCACTCACACACACACACAATCACACTCATACCCCCCACACATTCACACACACACAACCACACTCATACCCCCCACATTCACACACACACACAATCACACTCATACCCCTCACACATTCACACACACACAATCACACTCATACCCCCCCACATTTACCTGCACACACACACACACTCATACCCCCCACATTCACACACACACACAATCACACTCATACCCCCACACACATTCACCTACACACACAATCACACTCATACCCCCCACATTCACCTACACACACAACCACACTCATACCCCCCACACATTCACACACACACACACAACCACACTCATACCCCACACACATTCACACACACACAATCACACTCATACCCCCCACACATTCACCTGCACACACACACACACTCATACCCCCCACACATTCACACACACACAATCACACTCATACCCCCCACACATTCACACACACACACAATCACACTCATACCCCCCACACATTCACCTGCACACACAATCACACTCATACCCCCCCCACATTCACCCACACACACAACCACACTCATACCCCCCACACATTCACACACACACACACACAACCACACTCATACCCCACACACATTCACACACACACAATCACACTCATACCCCCCACACATTCACCTGCACACACACACACACTCATACCCCCACACATTCACACACACACAATCACACTCATACCCCCCACACATTCACACACACACAATCACACTCATACCCCCCCACATTCACCCACACACACACAATCACACTCATACCCCCACACATTCACCTGCACACACACACACACTCATACCCCCCACATTCACACACACACACAATCACACTCATACCCACACACACACATTCACCTACACACACACACACCTACACACACACACACAATCACATGCAAAGACAGCAGGTCTGGCCATGATGTGGGACAGGGTGGGAACAGGGGGCCAGCTGATGGCTGTGAGCTCTGGGGGAGGGGACAATGCCATGATGGTGGGCTGTGAAGGGAGAAATTCAGTGGTGACCTGCTTCATGACCTGTGTAAGGAAGTTCAGAGAAAGTGAATGGGAGGGCGCTGGGAAGGCGCGGGGTGCAGGCCCCTGGAAGGGCAGCTTCTGAAAGGACTGGCTGCCTGGACGCTCGGCAGCGAGTCTGAGGCTGGAGGCAGGGAGAAATCCCTGGAGGGGCCTGGTTCCCTGAGCCCTGGTGATCCGTGGGCAGCACTATCCGGTCACCAGACGGCAGAAGAAGGAAGACAGCAGATGTGGGGAAATCAGTCAGCATCAAATAGAAAGTGCAAGACTCCATTTTGCTATGAGAAATAGCAAAGCGTACCTCTCCATTTGGTTCTCTGATGACATCATAGAGGACTTCCCCTCTTGGTGCCAGGGAAGGCTCAGGTCACTCTACATGCCCTGTCCCGAGCTCCAGGAGTGTATATGTGCATGTATGCACACGTGTGTGTTAGAAGCAGATATGTGCCTGGTGGCACCATTATCCCTCATCCTTCCCACCCTCCTTGTGTCTCCATTTCAACCTGGACAGCTCACCACAGGAAGGCCTGTCTCCAAGACTTGCTAGACTTACCCAAGCAGTTGTTGGAGGCTTTGGCTTGAGTCTCGTAGCACCAGTGGGACTCTGGAGCAGAGAGAGGAAGGATGTGAGGCCTGTGTGCATACGTGTCCGCGTATCTGTGCACACACACGTGTCTATGAGTGCAGGTGAACTGGGTGCACACAAGCACACGGGGGGCAGGGGGCGGTATACACAGCAGGTCAGAGGTTAGGAATCTCCCTGGAGTCGGAGCTCACCTTGAGTTGGGGTGGAGTGTTCCTGGGGTCTGGGAGAGGAGACTTAAGAAGAAAATGTGAGTGGGGATGGGGAAGAGGACAGTACAAGCAGTTTGTGACTAGTCGGCTGGTCGTCCTGCCCAGGGTTCCTGTCCTGGAGCAGGCAGGGCAAAACGGCCACCAGCCTTTGAGGGGCTCCTCTGAGACCCCCAGGGTCTTTCCTCCACACTCTCCATTTGTGGCCCATCAGCCTCCCCCACCCTCCTTCAACACAAGCCTGGAAGGGAGGCTCCAGTAAGGGGGAGGAGGATCAGGGCCTGGGACAACAGAGCCAGGTTCAGCCTGGCTGCCTTCCCAGAGTTGATCAGGGGTGATGGAGGAGATTAGGCAGCCCCTCCCTTGTGTGTTATTAAGACCCATTCTGGGCTAAACTTCCATGGCCCCACAACAAAGAAGACAGCCACGCTTTTCCCTGTCCCAGCACCCCACAGTCCCGGTGTTTGGGACCAGACAGGCTCAGGTTCTAATCCCAGCTCTGCCTCAGGGTAGTAGAACCAGTATCTCTGAAGGAAGGCTGCACCACAAACGCACCACACAAATGCAAGACGTTAACAACAGGGGGACCGTGCAGGGGCAGAAGGGCCACTGGGGGCCTCTGCTTTGTGCTTAGTTTTCTGTAAACCTAAACCTGCCTAAGGTCTATTGATTTTTTAAAAATATGGTTTTATTGGTTTTTTAAAGAGAGGAAGGGAGAGATAGAAACACTGACATGAGAAAGATATATGGATCATGGATCAGCTCCCTCCTGTACCCCCCCGCCCCACCCCCCGGAGATGGAGCTGCAACCCGGGCATGTGCCCTGACTGGGAATCGAACCGGGACCTCTTAGTCCATGGGACAAGGCTCAATCCATTGAGCCACACTGGCCAGGCAAAGTCTATTAATTTTTTTAAAGGCTGGACCAGCAGGGTGGACAAAGCAAAAGCTGGAATTCTGGCTGAGGAGCTGTGGGTTCAGGAGCAAGTCATTTAATCTCTTTAAGCCTCAGTTTTATCATCTGAAAAATAGAACTAAAACCACCCACCTCACTGGGCTGTGGGGAGGATTAAATGAAGTGTTAGGAGTGTTCCCTGTAGCCTGGAACTTAGTCAAGTCCTTGGTGAGCCCTTCCCTTCCCTTCGCCTTCCTCCCTCAGGCCTCCCATCAGTGCACAGATGGCAAAAGAATTCAGGGATGAGGAAATTCCTAAGAAAAGCACAGCTTCCCACTCAGCCTGAACTCAGTCCTCTGAGCATACCTGCCTCCCCCCACCTGCTTGCCTGGGCTGCCCCCATCCAAACGCACCTCCTCTGGGGTCCCTGGAATGGGGGTGGGGGACATGAAGGTCAGGATCTTGGTAGGGGGTGGAAGGGGTTTGTGGCCAGGAGTGAGCAGAAAACTGGGCACCCTCTTGTTCTGGGTCCCTCAGAGCCACTGTGGGTGTTTGCTTCCCAGCTCTGGATCAAAGGCTTCACTCGGCTGGTACAGCCTCTTTCAGAGGTGGACAGTCCCTGAGTGTCTTCCCTGTGGCCGTCCATCCCCCTGGACAGGGCTCTGCTGCCCCTAGGAGTTGCTGCCCCTGGGAACCCCGATCTGGGTCAACTCTGCGGGAGAGAGTGGCCCTCTCTGCAGGCGAAGGAGCTCTGAAGCTGGAAGCTGGCTTCCAGGCCGAGCTCTGCCTCGCGTTCGACCTCTGCAGGCAGGTTCCCTGGCTCCTGAGCCCTGCATCCTTCCTAGCGGAAGGAGCTAGCTGCGTCTGAGGACACCAGGGCCGGAGGTCATCTGCACCTGTGACAAGCTCCTTGTTATAACCCTCCTGCGTTTTCACCTCTCGGAGGTCCTGGCGGCGGAAAGGACCTCCAAGGTCGAGCAGGACTAGAGTCCCAAGGGAAAACCACTCCAAGGGAAGCCTTATTTAAACCAGAGTCCGGGGGGCCAGCGGTGAAGGGTGGACCGCCCTCTGGGCCTTGCCAGGGCCTCTGATTCAGGCTGAGCTTTTCTTAGGAATTTGCTCTTTCCTGCCAGTTCTGACTCCTGCATATGTAATGGTAACCTCTGATTCTCTGTCTTAATCATAGAGACTTTTGACCTGCTTGGATGAATGCTCTTGTAACTAGCCTCTTCAGGAGGCAGGAGCCAGGGAAACACAATGTTGATGAGGCCAAGGCCAGGGGTCAGGTCTGTCTGTGGGTTGAAGGTAGGGAGCTGGCCTTCAGGCAGAGGTGGCCAGGCACAGACCAGCTGGGGCTCCTGCATTCGTTCCGAGAGGGCTGCCCTGCAGGGATTACGGGCCGCCTTGCAGGGATTATGGGCTGCCTCCAAGAGGGCCTGCAAGGAACAGGGGCTCCCCTCGCACAGCTCCTGGCTCCAAGCTCCAGGTTGCACCTAGTCTATCTGCCCTAACCAGAAATGGGTGAGAGTCCTACCACCCAGTGCCCGTCATCCAGCCATTGTTCCCCCCCCCTTGACTTTCCCACCCCTGACCCCCCTTCTTTAGAGATAACTGAAGAATCTCCCACTGATGGACCTTGGTCACCCCACCCTCCCACTTTGGAGGGAGGAAGAAATCCTGGAAACCAGCTCAGCGAAACCCAAGTATGTCCTGGGCAAAGTCTCAGCAAGTCCTGGCCAGGAGTCGGAGACTCTGAAGGGGCCCAATATCCTCTTCCCTCCTCTCTCCAGTCTCAAGTTCCCTAGGGGGTGAAATGGGTGGAGGGGGCAGCTGAGATCAATTCCTGGTTAGCTGGCCCCAGGCCAGTGGTAGAGCCACCATGGCCATCATGGAGTGCTTGCCGCGTGTCACAGAGGCACCACACCAAGTGGTAACACCCACTGTGTTACATGAATCCTTCTAAGGACACCTGAACTTAATTACGATGCCTGTTTTGTAAATGAGAAAAAGGAGAGTGACTTACCTAAAGCCACACAGCTACAAAGCATCGGATTTAACTGCAAAACCTTTCTCTTTCTACTAAGCCCAGCTGCTTAAGAAGGTTTCCAACGTCCGACTTTATAAATAAAGAATTTCACATCCTATGGTGGGGGAGGAAGAAACTTTCCTCTACCCTTCTAGGATCTTCTGGCTGTCTAATAATCAAATAGACATGAGACATATCAACAAGAGAAAATGACCAAATTTAATTACGTACGTTGTGTGTGACCCACACCCCCACACGAGAGGTTCAGAGGCAGAAAGGGAAAATGAGGTGTATGCAGCCTTCTGAGCTAAGAATGAGGTCAGGCGCCTTGGAGCTTCAGAGGGGAGGAGGCTCATTCACAGGAAATAAAAAGAGTGGATATTCAGTACTTTGAAGTTTGCTCTGCCTTACAGATAGGTCATAAAAAGTTAATTCTGGTAATAACTCGTATTATTAGCAAGGCCCCCAATTTAAATTCTTTAAGGGAGAGGTAAAAGTTTTTCGATTGCCTTCAGCTCAAAATAGTTCATAAGCCAGAGTGGTACATCTTGGGAAGCCTGTTCTGAACCCCTTCACTGCCTTTTCTCTTTCCTCCTCTCCAGAGAGTTGCTGTAAGGTGGCCCTCAACTCCCCTCCCCCACCTGGCCAGCTAAGTCTGTCCTGCAACCAGCACCCTCTCTCTCCTCTGCTGCTCAGGTGCCCTCGCCCCTCACTCCATGACTCCAAGGGAGGAGCATCCAGCTTTGGGGAAGAGGTTTGGTTGGATGAACCCCAAGGACCACGGGAGGGGTAGCTGAGCTGGGGACTGGCAGATAGGGGCTTCCTGCTTAGACGGGTCCCCAGGAGGTAGCGGAAAAGGTGCTTCCCGGGTCCCTGTGCCCAGCGGCTGGAAGCACCTTCAGTTCCTTATCAAATATTAACACATCTCTCCTGCCACCTCCCACCTAGAAGAATAATTAAGAGCTTGGCCTCACCATTAATCTTTAAACGAAAATCACCCTGGCCGGAAAGACCGGCTCAACCTGGGACCTTGGGTCTCCGGGTGTCCCCAGCTAGGCTCCCAATACAGCGCTGGGGTCTGGTGGGAGGTGAAGGGTGACAGCCCCCAGGGAAAAGGAACTCAGGGTGGGAAGCGGAGATGCCAGGGGCCCACCACTCCCAAAATGTTGCCTTTGCTCTGGGCGGAGGGGGAGGGTCAGCCGCCCAGCACCCAGCCCCAGCCGGGCGGACAGCGACCCGTGGACAAACTGGGGAGGACCAGAAACCGCCTGAGACGCCAGAAGGGGCGAGAAACCAGCGCGCGTCGGGGCGGGTGAGAGAAGCGCCCTTCTCACGGACTCGCATGCTCGTCTCGCCGAGGGCCGCCACGCACACGCGTGCACACCTTCCCCTGCCCCGCACGTGGCCGTTCGTGTGCGCACGCGAGCGCTCGCGCTCCGTCCGCCCGCAGCCTCGCGGTCCCGGCTCCCGCGCGCACGCCACGGCGGACGGAGCGCAGCCGGCGCGCACTGGGGCCGCGGGCGCTGCCTGCGCCGGGGCGCGGGCTGGGGGCGCAGCGCCGGCCCCCCGAGAGGCACGGGGCCAGGGCCCAGGTGTTCACCTGCGCGGACCGAGGGCCGGGAGGCGGCGAGGGCCAGGAGCGCCAGCAGCAGCCGCATCCTGCGCAGGAGCAGAGACGCCGCCAAGCCGAGGGTCGCACGCCGAGGAAGCCGCCGTGGGTGCCGCGATCGGGCCGGCCGGGCTTTTATAGCGGAGCCGCGACGGGAGGGAGCCCCGACTGCAGGACGCGGGTACGGGCTCCTCCCCCTGGCGGAGTCTCCCCTCCTCTTGTCCTGACATCCACCATCCCCCCACCCCCACCCCAGCCTGCTGTACACCAGAGGCCCCCTCCCACGCTGCGCCTCTCCGCTCAGAGGAGGGCCCCCAGCTCCCCTGCTCCACACTGGTCTCTGGTTTAGCAACATCCCAAGGTACTTGAGCCACACAAGGGTGGGTGCCCGGACTCTTGACTTGGATCATTTCGGGGCGAGCCACTGAGCAGCCCCCTCGCCTCTGGAGCAGCCCGCTGGGGTCTTGGGTTGCCTGGGGTTAGGGGTGGGCAGTGGAGGTAGCTTTGGAGGGATGACGGAGTTGAGGGATGCGCGATGGCGTTTGGAAATCGGTGTCCCCAGAAAGAGGACGCGCAGCCGGTGCGTCTCTTCAGAGGCAGTGGCCGCTGATTCTGTCTCATTTTTCTGTTTCCTCCCAGGCTGCTCCAAAGTTAATTTCCAAGCCGACCAAAGACACTTCTTTCACCAGAGTGTAGAAGCCTCTAAAATTTAGAGTTTATTGTGAGTGTTTATGTGATGGCCAGAGCAGAGAGGGCTGAGGGGGCAGAATTAAGAAGTGAATTGCGAAGGGGCTCAATGAGAGAGAAACTCGTGGGGCAGAGGGGAGCGGCTGGGTCCTGTTGAGCGCCCCACCACCCCTGAGATGAGATGGGAAGAAAAGAGATCGTGTCTGAATGGACCCCTAGTTCTCTCATGTGCCAGGATCTTCAGATGAGTTTAGGGAAAGAAAAGTTCCCTTGAAGGAGACCCTAGTATTTGGGGTAATGGGGTGCGGAAGGGGAGCATAGAGTGGAAGCTGCTTCTTGTCTCGGGAGGGGTGCTGAGCTGTGGCCCCCCTGTTGTAATGCCTCTAGTCTCCTTCGTGGCTCTAGGTACCTTGTGTCCTACATGCTGGCTTCCTCCGTGGGAGTTTGGGCAGCTCCGACTTGGGTGAGGAGAAGGTCTGGGGAACCAGGCAGTGGGCCTGGGCCCCTCCATCGGCAGGAAGCCCATGTTTTCTCCTCTAGCGGCTTCCCCATCTGCTGCCAACCTCTCAGCCCCCACCAGCCTTTGAACCTAGCCTAAGGACCTCCGAAAAGGTATTGCCTCCCCAAGATCTACCTGGGTAAAGGGGCTTGCTCCTTGGTTAGAGTCCTGGCTGATCCCCTCCACCCCCCACCTCCTGGCCCAGGATCACACAGCCCAAGGAGCAGCTTTGATCTTACAGAGGCAGGAGGCCCTTCATCAGGCTTAGGACCCTATTGTCTATACCGCTTTAGTCTTTAATCACCAGCCTGGGACTATGACAGTCAGAGGAGGGATTCCACACCCCAGGGCCTTTTTCTGGGGAAGGGGATGTATGTTCACTGGCTTGTAAAATAGTCTTTCAGGACTCAGGACATGTGGGGGGAGGGGTGGAAGAAGCCTGTTCCTGAGAATGAAATCTACTTCAGAGGGTCCCTGTGCCCCCAGGCCCGCCTCCCTCCAAGGAGAGAGACTTGAAAACCTTTGGTGGGGTTGTGGGGTTAAGGGGCTATTGATCAGTGACTTTGGATCCACTTCAAAGTTCAGTGCACTGCCTCCCAGAGGACTGTGGGAGGGGGGGCTGACCCCTAGGTAATCCTGCTCTTTCAGGTCAGTGCACTCCCGAGTATGTTTTGGGGCCAACAAGATGGGGAAGGTTGAGTGTGCACAGAAAGGTTGCAGGTTCGATCCCTGGTCAGGGCACATATCTGGGTTTCGGGTTTGATCCCTGGTCAAGGGAGTGTACATAAGGCAACCAATCATGTTTCTTTTTCTCTCTCCTTTCCTCTCTCTAAGCATATCCTCCTGTGAGGATTAAAAAAAGAAAAAGATGGGGAAGGAGAACCAGGCCCCATTGTAGGAGGTCTCTCTGAGGCTTGGGGCAGGGGAGGAGGTGAAGGATGGGTGTCACTGCCCTGGCCGTGTAGCTCAGTTGATTAGAGCATCGTCCAAATACATCAAGGTGTCGGGTTTGATCCCTGCTCTTTCTCTGACTCAGGGATAACCTTGGGCAACTTTCCTACTCTCTTTTTGCAACTTCCTCATCTCTAAGGTGGGGATGGTAATCTCTGACCTTTTTTATTGGGCTTGCTGGGAGCCAGCCCCTGCCCAGCCCAAACTTTCACAACCAGCCTCACCGTGCCTGGGTTTCCCACTGACACATTGCAAATGCGGAGATGAAACATTGTCCTCATCTGCTGGGGATCCACACCCACAAGCCCTTCCAGGAACAGGAGGAAGGCAGTGGGCAGGTCAAAGGGCTTGGAGGTCAGCAGAGCCTCAGTTTCCCTCATCTGTAAAATGAAAACCATACCCCTAGCTTCCTCATGGGTCACTGTGAGAATTTAGTGAGCTAAATCCTGATCCAGGCTGGTCCAGGCCAGGCACTTAGTAAGTGCTCAATAAACGTCAGCTGTAATTACTAGCTATTGAGGGTAACAGTGGCATATGCCCATGATATTACTGAAGCCCAGGGGAGTGGCACCTAACCCAGCCAGTAGGTGGAGAATCAGAGAAAGCTTCCTGGAGGAGATGAGCTGAGTATTAGAAGACAAGTAGTTGTTAATCCCCAAAGGGAAGGGAAATTTAGGCAGGAGAAATAGAATAAGAAAAGGCATGGGGTGGGGGGGATAGATAGGAGCATCAAGTGAGAGATGAGAGGGTAAAAATGAAACGGAGAAGTATTTGGTGCCAGATGGACAGGATTTGTTTGTTGGGATTAGAAATGAGAGCTAGGTATCAAGATCCTGATTTTATAGGCCAGGAAACATCCTTAGTCACTTGGCCTTAGAACAGGTCAGGGATCCTCAACTACTTCTTTGAGTTGCAGGAAAGGAAGCTGAGGCTCAGAGAGGGCAGTGACTTGCCCAAGTTGCCCAGCAAGGAGAGAGCAGAGCTGGGATTTGAATCCTGGTCTCCTCCCCTCACCATGTTCTTTCCATGCCATCTCATTCCCCACAACACACACACCTTCCTCCCACTGGGGACCCCAGCCTCTTGCTTTCTGCAGAGACTCCTCTTACTAGATGGGTAGGTTTGCAGAGACTGCAGTTTTCACATCCCTGCATGTTGAGATTAAAGCCACATGCAGAACAAGGTTTAACCAAGCGCCGCAGCTCCACTACTCCTCAGCCTGAATCTCTGCCATATTCTAGCAGAGACGAGAAAGCTCCTTTCCTGCCAGCATCTGCGGAGGCTGCAGTCCCTCTCCCCTCACCTTCACATCCCCCCTGTCTCTGATCATAGAGAAAATCCTGGCAGAGCAGAAAGAGGGGGACAGAGAAAGAGAGAGCTGGGGGTTGTCAAGGGGGAAGGACAGGGGCTTCCTTATTAGAGGGGCTGGCAGGAACTTCTGCCCCGGAACATTTGAAATAACAGCAGTCGAAGCATGGAATAATCCGGCACTGGAGATGACATATGTTCTGTTCCCGCCCTGCAGAGTTCAGGAAAACTCCCCCGTGGCTCTGCCGTCCTCCCTCCATGTCTCAGACACAGGAGCCCAGGCTGACACCGGCAGCAGGCTGAGATCACAGAGCTTCCTTGGAATTTCCAAGTGTATTCGTTTACTTTCTGGTGGCTTCATAGTGGCAGGACCTCTAAAGAGGGTGATGAGGATGGAACCAGGTGGGGAGAAGAAGGGAAGAGCAACAACACAGGCGCCTTGGGCAGAAAGCAGGCAGTCCCTACTTAGTGAATGCGGTGGCAACACCCTCCTGTGTGTGTGTGTGTGTGTGTGTCTGGGGGGTTTGTAATTTCTTTTTCTCTGATTATCTACATACTACCTACTCAATGTGGAATATTGGGAAAGCAGCAAGGAAAAAAATCACCAATAACCTTATCTTCTAAAGCAACCATTTTATAATTTGACATAGTTTTAAGGGGAAAAAAATTAAAGAAAATATCCCATCTTAATTCACCTGTTTAATTTTTTTGTCTTCCCTTTTAGTCTTTATGTGCAAAACACTATTAACATAGTGAACAACTTATCCACGTATTCGACTTATCCACTTATCCAATCCTGCTCTTTCACCTTCACATTTTACTGTAAACATGAGTCCGTGTTACCTCACAGCCTTCACAAATGTCACCTTGTAGCTTCACAATGTACCCAGTGTTAAAAAAAACAAAATTCAACTGAGTGAATTTGAAGCTCTAATTGGATTTATTAAGCAAGTCATGAATTGGACTTTTTTTTGTTTGTACATGCCCTTAGCGGGAACGGAACCCCGGACTCTCTGGTCCACAGGCCGACGCTCCAAGTGCTGAGCCAAACCGGCCAGGACGAATTGGACTTTTTAAAAAAAGATTCCCACTCTCACCCCATCCCCTTTGGCAACCATCAGCTTGTTCTCTATATCTGTAGGTCTGTTTCTTTTTTGGTTTTTTAATTTATTTATTTTTAGATTTCACATATAAGTGAGATCTTACAGTATTTATCTTTCTCTGACTAATTTCACTTAGCATAATATCCTCTAGGTCCATAAATATTGTCGCAAATAGCAAGATTTCATTAAAGATTTTTTTTCTTTATTGATTTTAGAGAGGGAGGAAAGGAGGGGGAGAGAGATAGAAACTTCGATGAGAAAACATTGATTGGCCACCTCCTGCATGCCCCCCACTGGGGATTTGGCCCACAACCTGGACATGTGTCCTGACCTTAAGAATTGAACCAGTGACCTCTTGGTGCATGAGTCAATGCTCAACCACTGAGCCACACTGGCCAGGCAAGATTTCTTTTTTTTTTTATCCTCACCTGAGGACATTTTTTTTTTTTTTTTTTGGCATTTATCTTCAGATAGAGCAGGAGGGAGAAAGGAAGAGAGAGAGAAATATCGATGTGAGA